ACGCTTCAATCCAAATTTAAAACAAAAAAAAGTGGAAAAACAAAAAGGAACCGAATACTCCCTCATTCCTGGCACAGCCTAATGTAACACTAGAAAAACAAACCACGGGACCAAGTCCCACGACCAGCATTGAGTTTCCTCCGCGCCCGAATCTAGACATGTTTGTGGAGATGTGCAGAAAATTATGTTGAGTTTCCTCAACCGCGCATCTCCACAAACATGTCCCGATTCGGGCATCGCGACGAGTTTCCTCAACCGCACATCTCCACAATCACGTCCAGATTCATCCATCACGTCGAGTTTCCTCAACCGCACATGTCCAGATTAAGGCGTTGAGGAAACTCAACGCTGCTACTAGGACTTGGCCCCAGGGAGAAAACTGGAGAAAAGTAGAGAAATGCAAGGAAAGTTGGAGAAAGGTCGAGAGAGGTGGCGAAAGAGGTGGTATTGGTCTCAGTACTGTCGCCACCCGAATAGAACGCCCAATCGTTATCGCTTCATCTAGACTGAAAGTTGGTCCAAATACACCGCCATAATGACCGTGCGTTCCATTCAAGGGAAGGCGGTAGTTCCCTCATCAAGTGGGAGAAAGGTGGAGAAAGGGGTGGGGTGCGGATTACGGAAGATTGGTGGAGAGAGGGAGGAAGTGGGGGAGTACTAAAGGTGTAGGAAAGAAGGGGGGGGGGGGTAGGGGGAAAGGGGGAGAATACACACCAGCGCAAAGTCAAGCGAGTAGTCGGCATCTCTGTACTCGTAAACCCAGGGCTTTCCCGTCGTAACCAGCAGCCGACTAATATCCTTCTGCCAAATTTCACGGTTAAAAAAAAAAAAAAAAAACAAGCCAGGAAACCGAAGTTGTTAGACAAAAAAACGAAGCAGTAGTTATTACAACGAACAAAAAACTGACCGTTAGTCTATATCTCAAATATTAAATTGGTCTACACGACTCTACAGCATACGGCACGCCAATGTGTTGCGTGGATTCTGATTTGCGCACACGAGCGTGCACAACAATATGTGCCCAAAGCGCTTCGCGGCTGATCCGCCACACTTTTTCCTCTTTTTTAATGTTTTTTTTTTTTAAGGAACCCCAGATTCTCTCTCTCATTCCCTCCACGAATCATCATAAACCATCCATAGAAAAAACTTCAAAAAGTAAAAAGTAGAGATAGGCAAGATAGTGAAAAATGCAAGGTTGGCCACGTTTGTGCGGTTAATGTGTATGTGTATGTCGTTTGTGTGTCGTATACATAACTCCACAAAGAAATGTATGTATGTGTGTGTGTGTGTATGTGTGTGTGTGTGTATGTGTGTGTGTGTAAGAGAGAGAGAGAGAGAGAGAGAGAGAGAGAGAGAGAGAGAGAGAGAGAGAGAGAGAGAGAGAGA